CAGTGTCTTTTGTGGTACAAAGTCCATTACAGCATCTTTGTCCATCTGGTTGTGTGTAGTGATATTTTATAATCTAACAAATAAAGCTTGCCTGAAGATCAGAATGCAGAGCTAAGTCACTAGTTAGCACTACCCCCTCCACAAAACCACCAGTTAGCCATACACATAAACCACTAGTTAGCCATAGAGGATGAGCAGTGGTGGCTCACTCCTTTAATTCAGGCACTTGGGAGATAAAGGCAGATAGATGTCTGTGAATTCAAGGCTACTTGGGCTACATGAGAGTGAATCAGTCTAAAAGAGAAACAGAACTCATATCTTTGATCCAAGTACTTGGGATGACATGCCTTTAATGACACTAGGAAGGTGAAGACATGAGTGATATGGCCAGGAAGAGAGAGGTGGAAGGAGACAGGGTGTATTGCATACAGTCTGAGGTTTTGTAAGGACAGCATTCAGCCCAAGGATTCACAGGGACAGGATGCCTTTGGTCTGAGAATTTAGTGGAGGAAAGAACTAGTGGCTGTGCTCTGTGTCCCTGATCCTTTAGGTTTACCTCTGCACCTGTCTTTGGGTTTTACTATTAAGACCAGAATTCACACTACATCCAAGTACCTTTCAGGCACAAGAAGGTTTTGTTTAGGGTAATGTCTTTTTGTTTTCTTTCTTTGTGTGTGTGTGTGTGTGTGTGTGTGTGTGTGTGTGTGTGTGTGTGTGTGTGCGTGCGTGCGTGCACGCGTGTATAGGCCAGAGACTAGTGTAATGGGAGAATAAGTGATAGTGGGGTGTCCTTCTATGGGGGTTGTCCTTCTGTACAGATGTTTCTCTTTTTGGTTAACGAATAAAGCACTGATTGGCTGATAGTCCAAGTAGAAAGTATAGGCTGGATAGGAGATGAGGAGAATTCTGGGAAACGTAGGCAGATGGAGTCATCATGTACAACCCAGACATTTTCCAATAAGACCACGTGGAAATACTTAGATTAATAGAAATGGGTTAATAATTAAGACAGAGCTAGCCAATAAGATGCCCTAGTCATTGGCCAACAGCTTTATAATTAATATGTCTTTGTGTGCTTATTTGGGGATCAAATGTGGCAGGACCTGCCAGGCAAAGAACCTCCTGCAACAAATAGGGACTCCCACTTCCTAATAATAAGTTCTATAGACTCCGAATATCAAAAGCAAGGCAATTTATTTTACAATCTTGCAAGGTTGGGCACCAGTCTAGACAGAGCAGCCCATTAGGGTCAAAATGGCATCAGAATCACAAGTCCTTTCCCCCTCTTTGTCACTGGCTAGCTCTTCATGGAGGTGCATTCTTTCCTATATATTGCCTTGTTTTTCCCATCTCACCACTTTTTGACTTGTTTAGTTACATAACACACAGCCTCTAGTCTTCCATTCTGAGATAAGCTTTTGGTTTCATTAAAGAGTAGAGTAACCAAAAGACCCCGACAAGCAAGAGTTGGTATGGTGACAAGGTACTCTGTGTCTCCTACTTCTCTTAAACCTAAACCCAGCAGAAAGCTCATGAGGGTTGGGAGTGAGTGCACAGACCCAAGATCAGTCCAGTCTCTTGGGTTGGAAGGCTGTTTAGGGAGCAAGATTAGGGCTGGTGATGGACCTGACAAAGGACGTGTTAGTGGACTACTCTGTGGAACAAGGGAAATGTTCAAGATGAACTCTTCTTCTACAGAGTATTTTAAATTTCTTTTTCTTTCTTTTTTTTTCTTTTCTTTTCTTTTTTTTTTTATTTGGTTAAAGATGCACAAGAAGATGCGAGGTCAAGAGGGCTTCAGATGCTGGAACTCACTGGATGGTCTTCCCTGCAAGTGTTCCATGACTGTTCACCTCCCATCCTACATGCTCAAGCTCTTGTCATCTCCTGGTCATTTTCTCAGTACATTGTTTTATATTCTTTCTAGTGCTTGTCCCTCTCTAGAATGACTCTCTGTATGCACTTGCCTGTAGCAAGTAAAGTAAGGACTTCAAGAGGGCAGCAACTTTGTCTTGCATGAATCACTAAAACACTAGCACAGATCCATAGGTCTGTACCAGCCCCACCCAGGACCTCTGGGCTTTCAAGGAAAAAGAAAACAAACCACTGTAAATCTAGAACCTTAAGTGTTTTGAGGCTTCAGATTCTGTGCTTGGATTCTGTGATGCACAGCAAGGCCCTGGTGTGTGTTTGTGTGTGTGTGTGTGTGTGTGTGTGTGTGTGTGTGTGTGTGTGTGTCAGTCTTCACCTGTTTCCCCTTAGCTTAGGTGATGGGGACCAGGGTCCTGTGAAGCTAAATCATAGAGCATAAGGAAGATATTATTGCTAGGGGCCCCTGGCAGCCAATGCTCACTCGCTTCAGGGAGGGAGAATGAGCATGCCTTTTCTGCTGTACACAACTCAGAAAGGGCAAGTTTACATCTTTGCTTGGTAATAAAAGCTTTCATGTTTATTGCTGCTTTTCCCAGGCAAAGAGTTTAGGACCAAATGGGTAAAGTCTCTGCTCACACAGATAAACATTCCTCTCCATGAAAACAGATGGGAGCCTGGAGGTAATTAGACCCACTGTGTCAAGCAATCAGTTTCATGGGGCAGAGGGCCAGACAATGATGACAAGAGAGCCAGCTCTCACAGGGACAGACAGCAAGCCTTTTAGTCAGTGGGCGATGTCTCCATTGTGCTGGCACTGATCTGGGCCTGTTTACAGGCTGTCATTCTGGCTTCTCTATCGTCTTTCTCTCTTCCCTTATTCTCCCTAAACACAAATCCACTGACCTGAATGGAGCCTCAAGTCTAGTCTTGCCATGTACTTCACACCGAGAGCACAGATAACTTCTCTAGAAGTGGGACCACTCTTCAGGATTGTCCCTCCATAGGAGATACCTCTCGAGTGACTTCAGTTTGCTCTCATACTTACTCATTTTATGTATGCATTTTATAATAAGCCATTTGTTGCTAGTTGCCCAAGTCCTCAGCTCTATGAGAACTGGGGCAGGATTGATTTTGTTCACACTGCCTCAATGTATAGCAACACACTGCTATCTGTAACTGTTTGGTAAATGACAAGTAAACAAACTAAAGACGAATGGACGTAGCAGACTCCAAAGTCTGCTACTATCATATTCCTATTATAAAATAGAGTGTCAACATCATATCACTATAATTTATTCTTGTTCTTGTTTCTCATTGCTGTTTTTCTTTCCTCCTGTCTTTTCTGGCCCTAAAAAACCAAGCCATTTAACTCTAATTAACAGCAAAGTATATGAAGTATATGTACTCCACAAGCACATATATGTACTATGTGATTTCTGATTGTCAGAAAAAGATACATACTTGAGGACCAGCAAGATGTTTCAGTGGGTAAAGGCGCTTGCTACCAACTCTGATATCCTGAGTTGGATCCTCTGGGCTCATGATGGTAGAAGGAGAGAAACGAGTCTTGCAAGTTTTCTCTGACCTCCTCACCATTCTTCTCCCCCAACATAAAATAAATATTTTAAAAACACAAAAAATGATATGTATTAGATAGGCTACAAGGTAAGATTTTAATTATAGATAGCAGTCTATAGCAGCTGTCCTGAGCTTACATCATTTTTAGCTTCAAACAGTATTAATGTTAACAATAGATGATGGTTATGAAATATTTTTTCCTTTAGACTTAGAGAAATTGTGGAGTTCCTTAAAATGTAGTTCCAACTTTAAAAATAGAATTATTTGCACAATTTCAACTTAATTATCAAAGGTACTATATTTGATTTTATTAGCCTGGTGTTTCTAGAATTCTGAGAATAAATATTTTCAGAGAACTTGAACACTTCCTAGCCATCTCGCCAAGACCTTCCTATACAGCGTTCTTTTTAGGGATGGGAATGTAAAACTCAGGTTTCTTGTCAAGGAGTTTTAAAAATATGTTTTGTACCAGCCATATCTTTGTGCCTTTCTTTTTGATCAGTGAGTTATACAATGAAATTAATAAGCATTATAAGTAATCAGTGCTCACAGCATCTCTCACTAGACATTTCCGAGTTAACCTTTCTTTCATAAAATGTTATGGACAGTCTTACATGTAGGCACCTGCCCATAGCTCTAAACTGCATGGACAAACAAACTACTCTGAGGGCTTCGATGAGAAAGGGTAAGGGAACAGCCAGATGTTAGAGCTGGAGGATACCAAAGCAGTTCAAGTGGTACTTTTGAAAATGAGAAAGTCAATGCATTGAGGAGGGTGATGTATTTCTGATCCCCCAAATGCTATGGACCAGTTGTATATCCTTGACACACACCCAGCCAATGTTAGCTTCTTTACCTGGCCCAACAAGTGTTCAATTCATTTTTATCTTTATTCATAGGGTTAGCAAATAGTTTTCATGATAACCTAGTATATTTTCATATGAGCTCTGAGGGTAGTTCACATGCAGAACACATGGATCAAAAACTCAGGTCCCTTATGTGTAACCTATCAAAACAGAATGTGGAAAGGTGCAGCAACTGGACGGGAGGAAGTGACTTCTGAGAAGCAGGGACTGCAGGCATGTTGTGACAGGAACCAGACATACCGAAATGAATTACCTGCTCCAGCCTGTGTTGTGGAAGGAACTTGAATGTGTTCCTCAGCCAGATGGGACTTCCCTGTGTGAAGGCACAGGGGCAGCAGACTAGCACGGCTTAAACCAATCTGTTTCTGAGTGTGTGCCTCTGTCAGACCGCAGAGTGACAACTGTGTCCTTGGCACTGGAGCTGGATTTTAAATGTCCTCTACTTTGAGTGTTAACCCAGTGCTCCTCTTATGCTTTGAGTAGGTTTCCAGAAACGATGGCTCTGTGACTGTCCTCCATCTGTCCTCATGCCTGGATCTGGTTTGTGGGGTGTTTTGAGGAAAGCCTGTGGCTCTGTAACTCATTCTTTAGCTTCAGGCAGTTAACGGTCCTTACCACAGTCATTGTGGTTGCTTAGCAACAATGGGCAGCAGAGCAGTGCCTGGGATTCCAAAACTCTAAGGAATGAGATTAGTTGGTGTCTGTTCATGGACAGAGGACCAATGGTCCTGGCCTGAGATGGGAGGGTGCCACAGCAAGAAAGTTGTAATCCCAGACTTTGAAACCCCAGTGAGATGCAGGTGAGTGACCAGTGCCTTCTGTCCACAAAAAAAAAAAAAAAAAAAAAAAAAAAAAAGAATCCATGGAAATTTCCAGATAAAGTAACCTTCACTCCAGACTTCAAAGATAACCTTTCTTTAAAGTCTGGGGGAAAACATCAAAGAGACTTTTTTCTAGGGACGGTTCTATCTTCCCAAATCACAAGACAAGGCCTGACATAGCGCAAGTTTCAACAAGTGCTCTTGTAAATGAGTAAAAACATTTTTCATGTGCATTTCTCAGAATTATACGCTCACCCACACCAAGTGTCTTAGTAGTGAGTGAGAACACGGAAGCAGCCAGCCCTCTTTTCAGAACCACAGGGAAACAGCAGCACTAGGCCCCTCCCCCCCCCCCTGCTCTCCAGCCAGGATGCTCGCAGATAAGCAGGGGCGTTCCTTCTCCACTTCTTTTCCAAGTAGAAATTAGCAGCCAACCTTGACCACAGGAATGGACACAGAGATGGCCTCTATCATCGATCTGCAGTCAATCACTGGAAAATTTCCATGTGGGCTCCACACTCATTTCCCTTTCAAATATGGAGATAGCTTTTGGTTAGGCTTGCCTTCCAAATCTGGAGATAATTGTGCCCTGTTTGTAGAGGAAGCTGTCTCCTGGAGGGCAGTTTCCTGTGAGGGGTGTGCCCCTATAGCCCTGGTTTCTCCCTCATTGGACTTTAAACTGTGTCTTCCTCTTAGTGACTGTGTGAGCTTTGCTTTTTGCATGAACCCAAGGTTCGTGACTAATAGGGAGAACTTATTAAGATCTTAAGCTTTTATGTAAAAAAAAAAAATATTTCCATGTGTAATCTACGAACCTCAAAAGATGTACAACCTCATTTTGTTTTTCACTTTGAAACAATGAAACCTAGCAAGCATTCATTTTCTCTTAATTTCTCCAAAATCACCTGACAGATATTTCCATATGAAGACAATTAAAAAGGTGAACAAAGTGTTCCAAATGGAGGCAAAAATGTCCTGTGATTATCAGCTGTGACATGAATAACCCAGTGTGAAGCAACAGTGATGCCCAGGGCAAAGCAGAACAGTGTTCTCATTGTCAAGTGTCCAGTGGGCTCTTGTTCTCATACACAGAGCCAACTGTGGGGTGCAGGTACCAATCAGGACTTCTGGGGCAAAGACAGGGAAGAAATTTATCAATTTCTCTTCAGATATGGTACAAACTGGTCTCCTGATTTACCTGCCCTTCTCCTTTTCCCTCTCCCCATTCCCTTGAGACAGACCCTCTCCACCATTTTTACAAGCCAAATGGAAATTTAATTCTAACTTCTCTAAAAAAAGGAGTATGAGACCCCAGATGGTCCAAATCCAAGGACCAGAAAAGTGTTTTCCCAGGACACCTCCTCTCTTGTGAGAACAGGGAGCTCCTGAAGTCCAGCCAAACTAATTGTGCTGAAATCATGTATTCCACAGTCACTAATTACTACTCCAAAGTAAAAAGTGTAGATGAAAAGCCTAGCAATCAGACACATTTTATTAAATGGAAAGAAATGTTTATGCTCTGGTACCACATTGAGGGAAAATAAATACTCCCATCCTCTCATAATATCACTATACTCCATGCCACAGATGTTTAATGGAGCTTTTCAGTTTTCCCACGATGAATCCTAAAGCAAGAAAACATTGTTAGGAGAAAAGGCACAGAAATAGACTTGTTAATTCCACTTTGTTTTATCTCAAGGCTAGTAGACTTTCTAAAGCTTTTGTTTAGTTACTATACACATCTCCAGTGTGTATGCTGAGTTACTATGGTTACGCTGAGGCCATGACTCATGATCTTTAAATGTTTAAATGTCAGATGGCCATAGTTCTCTTGTTTTGAAGTCAGTAGTTTTGTTTCATGCTTTATTAAAATTGGGTGGGTTTTGTTGTGCATTTGTGGCTCATCTGAGTAAAACCCATTGAGTATGCTCTGGTTCCAAAAGAACATGTTATTGAGTAAATATAGCATAGTACTTGTTCCCTATAATGCTACTGAGAAATTATTTTAAAAAACCCCACAGGTACACAAGTATATACACCCTTAAAAATCAGTAAGGGCTATAAGAGATATCTGAAAACAGATTGTGAAATACAATGGATCCAAGAGGCTGCTGGAAAATGTAGTGTTGAGCATGGTATAAACCTTCAGCAAGATAAGGGAACTCAAATATTTTATTAAGAAGAAATTACTGAAGCATAGACTCTGGAATCACTCTATAATATATTTCATGAGTACAACAGCTGTGTGAGCTACACCAAAGATAAAGAGAGATGAAAAGTGGAATTCCTAGGTCATGAAGTTCATTCAATGCTATGTGTTGATTTTCCTAACAACCATAAAGAAGAGGCTACTCTTTTTTCTTAGAAAGCATGTGTCTTCTTCCATTAATTTTAGCCTTTAGTCACTGATTGCATTGTGAACCTTTTTAAGTGGTGCTAATATCTTTGAAAAGTTAGGAAAGTAAGCAGTAAAGATTCACATAAATGTGAAGTGAAAAAATGTGTATTTACTCTTTGGGGTAGAAATGGAGTAGGTTGGGGCTTTAAAGGGCGGTTCCTCAGGTGACAACTGTGCAATTGAATGTGCAAACTTGGTGAAGCTTATTAGAGCACCCAACCACCCATTGGTTCTTTCCACCAATATTAGCCAGCCTTTCCTTCTTCAAGATGCTAAGTAGTGGGGCTGGAAGGCAACTCAGGTGGCTCATCAATTGATTAGCATGTGCAAGGTCCCTAAATTTGATCCCCGATACTTGAATACATAGAGAAGTTGCAGAGTAACAAAAAGAAGAGGAAAAGGTATCCTATGTATTTAAGGAATGTACCTGGCCAGTTGTTATGCAACACACATCAAATAAACAAACAAACAAACAAACAAACCATGTAGAATGTCAGGAAGTAGTGACAACAGCAGGGAAAAATCAAGCGCAGTGAGATGAGAGCTTTGACTGTAAATTGGATGCCCATGGGTAGATTCATGGAGAAGGTGGTATTTGGACAGAGATGGGAAGTAAAGTATAATAAGCCACATGGACTCCCCATGTATATTCCTACGGATGAAGGTTGCCTTGGGAGCCAGATGAAGAAAATGTTTCTAAGAAGAGATGATGAATCATGCAAAAAGCTATTAAGGTGAATTGTCACGGGACCAGTGCAGATAGCAACGAGGGGATCCCTGGTGACAAGCCGCCTTACCATGGACCAGTGCTAGGGAAAGCCTGACAGGAGTGGCTTTAGCAAAAGAAAAAGAGCAATTGGAGGCAATGAAAAAAATAGTTCTTGCCTGGAAGGGGGGTTAGAGGAATGCAGCAAAAACTAAAAAGCCAAGAAGGCTCAAGCTGAAGTAAATAGCACATTTGTAAGCCGCCATGAGAGGGAGAGAGGGATGAGAGAAAGGAAGAGTGGAGGGGAAGGGAGGGGCGACTGCCCTGCCTGCTTGTGCACAGAGAGGATGTGCCTTCTTCCCTTTTCCTTTTCTAGCTGAAATAGGAGATTTTGCAGGTTTTCAGAACATACCGTACCACTCACTGTTCGGTCTGCTTATTCTCAAGGGAGCCTTGAAGGGCTGTTTTATGTTCCTAGTAAAGTTTACGTTCTGTTACTTTTACTTCCTTCTGAAATGGCCAGAACATTTGGGGAAAATACTCTAACTTTTTATTTTACATGTTACAGTGTAAAGATCTTTTCAGTGTGATCTCTCTCTCTCTCTCTCTCTCTCTCTCTCTCTCTCTCTCTCTCTCTCTCTCTCTCTCTCTCCATGTGTGTGTATGTGTACAGCTATCTAAAATAAAATTTTAGACATCTGAACTCTTAATCCCTTTTGCCATGTCATCCAGGTCGGCGTGTAGGTCGATGTTTGGAAGTTACCAGTCGGATATACGATCACAAAACCGAACACTGGTAAGAAATAAACCGCTTTATTTTCTGTTTTAAAATGTAATTTAATTGAATATTGAGGGTTTTTTTTTTAATAAAATTGAGCTTTCATACCCTACAAGTAAGTATTCTTAAACAAACAGTGGAATGTTCTTTCCCAAGTAGAATTCTGAAAGGAAGGGAATGGGGGTGTTTTAGGGGAAGAAGATGGGTGAAGAGATGGCAGATAAAGGTGATGTGGAATGGCCTTTCCCATTTTAACACATCATAGATGTCACATTGTCATTGTGGCCCTACAATAGCTTAGATGTCCTGGGCTATTTCAAACATTTGTTTATACATAAGGAAGTCCTGAGTTGAGACATGACATAAATCTAGCAGAGTGGATTATTTGGTTTAGTTAACCTTGGGTTTAAAGCACAGTCTATTCCAGATTTATCCAGTTTGGGCCTCTTTGAAGGCTATTGAAATAACTGATTCTGGTTTCAGTGGTATTCCACAGTTCTGTCATACACTGGGAACACTGGCTCTTTCTTCCCCAACTCCATTGCAATACTGTCTGGCCTTTGGATAATTCTAGGTGGTGATCGAGAGTGGAAGCTTGGTGAGGCTTGGGGTGACTATCTTTATCCAAGTGTAAACTTTCTCCTCAGTCTCTCTTGGTTCAGTTTCACAACTCTCTAGACTCTACTCAGAGGTATTTCTCAAACTGTCTGAGCTCTGCTTTTGTTATACAGGGTGGTGTAGTGTAAAAGTTCATAAAACCAGGATTCAAACAGATCCAGGTTCAGTTTTTACCTCTAAGCTGTGCGGCTGTAACCAATTTCTTTCATATCTGTGAGTCTCACTTTTCACCTATCGCATTGATGATAACTGAACCCTGGTCCAGTTCCTAGCATCCATATGGTGGCTCTCAACCATCTGTAACTCTAGTTCCAAAGAATCTGATGCCCTCTTCTGGCCTCCATGGGCACCGGGAATGTACATGGTGCACACACATACATATAGACTATGCACTCACACACATGAAATAAAAAAAATTAAATATATCTTTAAAAAAAAGAATTAACACACCTCTATTCTCTAGTGTAGTTCTAGTCCTAGACAAACTAAGCATAGCTCTCAAATCTATAAGCCATTTTCAGAAGGAAGGATGTTGTTAGAAAAAAATGTTAAGTGGAAACCCAATTCAACTTATTAAATTGTTTTAATTAAAAATGTAGTCTACCTACATTGCTTTTTTTAATTTAGGTAGAAGAAATATAATAATTAATTTTGATTTTATTTAATGAAGCTATTTATGAATCTATGGCCTAAAAATGTCTTCCCTATTACCTTTCTATTTGATGGCAACCCCTGAGTCTGAGAAATGGGACACTTAATGGACCCAATGTCTGTGAACACTGCCCTTTCCTCTAAATGTGTACATCCATCAGTATCTCCTTGGTGGCATCCACACTGATGAGGACAATGACCCTGTTAGAATTCTGCCTGGGGCTCCCAATTAACTTCCCAGAGTTCAGAATCTGTCCCTTTCCAATTTACAGTTGACGTAATTGGGATGTCTGGGGTTTGGAGGAGCCAGATCAGCTTCCTTCCTGTATTTTTACATCTCTAGAAGATTACACATTTAGCTGGAGGAAGTCAGGCTCAGAGACCACAGAGCCCATGGCATATCCATAGCTACTGCTGCCCCCTCTACCGCACAATCAGTTCTATTAAGTCATGGAAATTTTAGTACAAAATGCTTCAGAACACTTATGTAGCATGAGGCACAAAAACATGGGTGACATTTAGATGCATCTTTTAAATCATTGGTTTTAGCTTGGGCAGGACATGGGGTGATATGAAGGATGTAATCGTTTTCAGTTGTGTGAAATCCTCTTGGCTGTGCAGGCATATTGGCACACCTTCTTCCTGTCGGTCACACTGCCATGGAGATGGGGCTCTTCTCCTTTAGTGAAATATCCCTCTTAAATATTTTAAGTTCCACATCCTTTGATAAGCTGTGAATTATTAGAAAGTTGGACTTTGTTTATTAGTCTCCACGGATAGATAACCAAATTTCAGGCACCCAAATGGCCCTCTATCAGTGTCATTTGAAATAAAAAAATATGGGCTGAGATACAAGGCATTGAGTGGAGTATGCCCCCCATATCATCATAGCAGCACATGAGTAGGGTCCAAAACCAATACCACTATATTGATGGTTTTCTTCATGGTGATTCAGGAGGCTCAAGAAGCTTTCAGATGTGAGTGATGAAGTAGAATGTGTTCACATGTGATAGGGACATTATAGCACAATCTGATGAGAGAGAGAGATTCACTTTTAGGATGCCAGGAGGTCCCCATTTATCTCAAACCATTCCTTTGAGTCAGTTGGAGAATCAAGATGTATGGAGAAAAAAAGAGAAGCCAAATGCCTTTGTTCCATTTTATCACCCCACAGAAAACACTAGTGTCTATAGATCATCTCATTTGAAGCTATTTAAGAAATAAAAATTCTATTGTACAGAAGGTTGACATAAAAAAGACCAGGATTGTTCTCCCCAAATTAGTTGTGAGAATCCTGGCAATGGGGATTACCAATGCCCCAAGTTTCAAGGAGAGGAACACCCAAAAGCCAGAGTATGACTAGAGGTTTGGGTACACTAAGATTATCACAAAACTATTCAAGTCCCAGTTGTAATTTAGTAACAGCTTCATTAAAGAATTGTTAGTTTGGTGTCAAAGATACAAAAGTTCTTTGGTGTTTTTAATTTCTACAGATGGGTTTACAAGATGACCCAAGGTTAGCTAAAGGAAGGCACATTAAGTGAAGATAGAGAGAGACACTGTAAGTCATGTCAAGTCATTGGCTCCACTCTTCCTGTGGCATCTTGTCTGAGAGCAGAAGTGGCTTGATTTCTACTTCCTCTAAATTTTAACATTCTACAATGGCTTTTAGAAGATCCCTCCCTTTGATGAGCAGAAGTTCAAATCATTAACGAATCACGATGTCGGCAGGACACTGTGCTTTAAAGGAACATTTCAAGGGATTTCAAGGCCCTTTCGTTTTTCAAATAAGAGCCACATAGACCAGAATTGGATGTATATTTAAATAGAAGGATTTGTGAGGATTCTAGAAAATGGGTTAGATTTCAAAGTTTACCACTTTAACAAGGAAAAAGTGATAACTCAGAACGTTTGTTCTGCCTGCCTTCTGCCTTTCTCCCTTCCAGTTTCCCTTCTAGGGTCATAATGGACAAATTTAAAATACACAAGTTTTGGTGTACAGTTAGCCATGTCAGGTCATATTCTCAGTATAATAGAGCTATCCATCAACCTGAAAACTCTGAGACTAGTGGAAACCGCCTCCCCCCTCTAGAGTTTCCCTGAGCTTCATAGACATGGAGCCACACAGTAGATCCCTTTTCCGTGGGACTATTTGACTCAGGAAAAAAAATGTTATTTTGTGGTCCACTCATATTTCAGAATGACAGCTGTTCATCCTCACTGTGGACTCTGATTCCTTTGTGTAGAAGGTATATCTGTGTTTATCTTTTTGCCTGTTGACTGATGTTTGGGTTACTCCTAGGTTTGGGTTTTTACATATGAAGCTAGGGATGCTCATGGTTGGGTATTTGTATGCACATATGGTTTCATTTCTTTTGGGTAAACTCCTAGGACTGGAATGGTTGAATCACATGGCAAGTGTTCCAATCTTTGTATGGAAATGATTCCCCCCCCTTGGGTAAATACCTAGGAGTGGAATAGTTGAGTCATATGATGCAGCTCTGACTTTTTTGTTTAACTACTCAATTGTTTTTGGCATTTTTGCACCTTTACCGGAGGCATGAGAAATTTCAGTCCCTGTACACTGTTCTCTGGTAAAGCTAACCCTTTTGATTTTTGTTTTTCAGACATCGCAAATTATACTAATTGTGGTTTTTAATTTGCATTTACTTAAGTAACAAATGATGTCAATCATTTTACATGTCATCCTTCTGTCTGATACTTAAATATTTTGCTTTCTTGTATGTTATATTGCTTATTTTTGTTTTTTTTTCTGTTATTTGGTATTGAGGGTTCTTTTGAAAATATATTTGGAATATGAGTAATTTTTTGTGTTTTGTCATTCTGACCGTTCTTACTCTGTCTTTGTTCTCTTTGCTCAATTAGCAGTGTTTTTAGAAGAACAAAAGTTTTTAATTTGGTGAAATCTAATTTAATAACAGCTACTTTCATGGCTCATGCTTCTGGTATCTCATCTAAGAGATCTTTGCTCAAGGACACAGATATTTGTTCCCAAGATTTTGTCTAAGAGTTTTATAGTTTTGGGTTTTGTAATAAGCCTAAGATCCATTTTGAGTTCATTTGACTGATAGCCAAGTTTCTCTTCTTGAATTCCCTTCAGTTGTAAGCATTCAATTCAAGTTCAGAGACAGGTTTCCCATGATGACTTGATGCAGGACCTCTGGGTTGTGGATTGGACCATTCAGGAGAGATGGCCAACTTGCCAAGCTGTCCTTTGAGATGAGCTGGGACTCCATTGCCTTCCTTCGTAGCTTCCTGCTATCAGACCTCAGTGGCCTGATCTTTCTTTCCATCTCAGTTGGTCTTGACTCTAAGTTAACAAAGTCACAAAAGAAAAGAAGGAAGGAAGGCAGGCAGGAAGGGAGGGAGGAAGAGAGGAAGAAGAAATAAAGAAAATGGGAAAGCATCGGCTTTCTCATTCTCGTCTCATTTTAGTAATAAGTTCTGTTTAACTTGGGGATCAGGGCTGTGAAAAAGACTTAGTTAAAATGAAAGTGGACAAAGAAATTCAAAGGAAATGGCCCTTTGGAGTGGACCTATTTCATTTGTAATTTCTATGATAGAAGAAATGTATAATGAACAAAAGGACCTGTCTTCACATGAATATGTTCTTTCGTTTAAAAAAAAATGTCAACAAGCAAAGAAATTTAGAAAACACATGTCTCTGGAACAGACTGTTTACACATGCAATGTTTTTCAGAATTCCCCCAGGAGGGTTCAGTGGAGCA